ATAACTACAATATTTACAGTGATCTTTCAGGCACACTACAAATCTTTCTTCAATCACAAGTTCACCTTTTAATCTGTACAAACAGCGCACACCTACCAAACCCAATGAATCAATACACAAGCAATAGTTTCTCTTGATGAGTACATAATAATGAACACTAAGAGGTTACAATTTACTTACTTTTGGTTGAGGTACTGGTAAGTCCAATCAACTATTTCTCCTACTAACTCCGAATCACACAAATAATATCCAGCCACCTTTACTGGAAGCTGGTCATCCGGATCCACTGTCGTCGCAAATTCTTCAAAAAACCGCCTATAAACAGTCAAGTAATCTTGAATGTCTGCCATGGTATGAAATCCCACGAGTTGATTGTGTTACGTCAACACTGTGCAAACACTTCTTTGCTCTTGAATTATTTTCGTTGATATGTAGAAAAATTTTGTACTTCTGTTACACCATCAAATCATGTGCTCCTTTAATTTACAGTGTAAATAAACATTTAAACCAGAATATTTCCGGCAACACATACTCCCTTCACTACTACCAGATGACTACAAACAAGTAAGAACGCGAAGTTGTGTTCCCAACCTGAATATATGAAGTTCATACAATGTAAGACATGTTCAGAACACTATTAGAAACTCTTTATATATAAATTAAATATAATCATATGATAAAGTTCTATTTTAGAGAAAATTCTCATCATACTAAGCAAATTACAATAAATCTCACTCTAAAAGTTGACGTATCAAAAATAAACAACGTGCAAATATGTTGGTGGACATGGATGTTACCATTGCAGTATGATTCCTTAAACTATCGTCAGGTTGCAGAAGAATGTCGTAAATGCTGCCACCTATGTACAGTCAATATGCAGTAACAACAATAAAAAGCCATTCGTGGTTAGAACATCATTCTTTATTCACCACTAATATAGTAGTCAAAGCGGAGGTGGCGGTAAATTAATTTTTGGGCGTTGTTTATTTATTAAGGTACCACTTCTAGATAGAACAATAAAACATATGAATGTTGAAAAGTTACTCAACAGCATGCACCTTAGCAATAAGTAATGTTGCTACCACGATACGATAGTGTTCAATGACCATCGAGTCTACACGACTAAAAACTCCGACGAACATCATCTTCATTGTCGTGTTGGCATAACTGTGCACAGATGAAACCAAACTGTGTATGAGTTTGTGTGTTAAGCACAGCAGAAGCTACTGAAGAAAGCATATATTAGAATGTCAAATTCAGTTGCTGAGGACCAGGATGACTGGATGGTAAAGTTGAAAATGAATTGAATGAGTGACATGAACAGATGTTAAGGTGTCATTAAATAACTTAAAAACCAATTACAGTATTTTGTTTATAAGTATGAAATGCCTCAGGTTTGTATGCAATTTATTCATCCTGCTTATTTGTGTTTTGCCTCTGAATTTCAGGTTAGACCATGTAATATGTATAAAGAGGAATATAGTGAGTGTACAAGTATAAAGGCTCGTTTTCATCAATACTTCATATTTGGTGAAACTATAGATTGTTCACAGTGGAAAAGGGACTTCAACAGCTGTGTTCAGTGGAGAAATAAACAGAATGCTAATGCACTGGTAAAAATAAAATAAATAAAATAATTATATTAATAATTAAAATAATGTTTGTATATGTATTTGTAAAAGATGGTTTTGGTTACTGGGTATGAAACATCCAGATACACTGGTTATTTGTAATTATCAATACATTACATTCATGAACTTGTGAGTAGACTATAGTTGGGCAGTTCTTGCTTCTACTCATTTCAGAATCTTTTGTCATACTGTTTAAGGTCTAAAAATGTCAAGCTTAAAATATACAAAATTGTGGGTGTGAATCTTGTGCTTTCACATTAAGAAAAGGACATAGATTGAGGGTGTTTGATAACAGGATTCTAAGGAGAATATTTGAACATAAGGCACATAGGATAAATGAGAAATGCATGCAAAATGTTGGTTGGAAAACCTAAGCATAGAGGGAAGGATATTAAAATTAATCTTAGAAGAATAGGATGAGAGATGTAGGCTGTATTCATATGTCTCAGGGACCAATGGTGGGCTCTTGTGAACACCATAATGAACTATTGGTTCCATAAAAGGTGATGAATATATTGACTAGCTGCACGACTACTAAGGATTCTTCTCCAAGTAGTGCTTTACATATTTCATTGGCCTGGTTGAAAAGCTGTTCATGATACCTAAGCGAGACAGAACTGTAAATGAACTATAGCAGTAAGCAAATTAACTGATCAGCATGAATGGATTTTTTCTCTTTGATTTGTACAGGAAGAGCTGGTACAGAGTGAAAAAGAACGCAGATTGAAACGATTAGAAGGTCACTATAAGAACAATGTCTGGAAGAAGAGGGTAGAACCTCCAGCTGACTGGAACAAGCCATTGCCAGAGAGATTCATAAAGGAGTATGAAAACACATATTTGTATCACCGAGCTAAAGAAATGGCAGACAATAAACCTGAAGAATTACAAAGAACTCTGTGTGTATTATCTTGACATTTGAGATTGTTATATAGTTTTGTAATAGAATATTTGTAACTGTGATTTTAGAAATATAAGACTGAAGAAAGTAGTTTTTTTCCACATTCCTCTTTCATCACAAACTTCCTTCAAGAGCAACAAAAATTATATAGATGTTGAATATGGAACAGGCCAGCCTTTATCAGCCACTTGACAGCTTATTTATACTAGGTGAAATTTGAGGTTCTTGCAGTGAGAAGTATGAAAATGGAAGTCCTCAGAGATGTTGCATCTTATAGTGTGGTAGATAATCACCAACATTTAAGAGGAGCTTAACTGCCTCTATCACTCTGACGATGGAGGCAGTAAGCTCCTATGAAATGGTCAACATATGGTGCAACAGCCATCTTCATACTCATTGCTGTGAGAACTTTATATCCACCAACAAGCTACATACATAACTACTTACATGAAAACATTACGTTGTCTTTGTGCAGTATCTTCCAAAGAGTTTGTGAAAGTTCAAGCCCACCGTCCATTTCGCATTCACACTGTAATGTCTATACTTGCACGGAGTACAGCTAATTAACATCCAAGCTTCTGGTTTCTTGATAACAGATATATCCAACCACACTGTAAAAACACTACAGGGAACATGGTTTAAGGACAAAACATGCTAAAAAAGTATAACAGCTCATTAACTTTGGCCCCAGCAATTATTGTACAAAGGTAAAAAGGTATTAACCTAACTGAGCTGGTGCTTTGTGTTCCACACAGTCGTATTATTACTGAATGGATAGGTGGGATCAGTAGATATGTGGCAATGAAGGTCAACCAGGCCATTAGCATGCCCCATCAAATAGCCACTCTTCTATTTTTGTGTTTATTTTGCTGAACCCATATAATATCTCAAATGGTTGCTTTGCAAAACAAATGTATTGTTATAAGTCCACTGTATGGTCAATGGAAATTTTATGTGATGTTTTCTCTACCTCTAAAATGACAGTCCACATCAAAATTAGCCCAACATTCAATTTCAGCAATTCATTTCAGCAAGCACTGTAATATCAAATGTCATAAAATTACATTCACCCAGAATGGAATGTATTACAAGTGAATAGACCAACATAGTGAATCTGATAAGTCTGACCTGTATATTGTGAAATTACCCCAAAAATAATATGAACTGTGAATATAACATTACAAACCATCATGAGTGCAAGCTGTGGATAAACACACTCAGGATGCAAAAACAGACACCAACTACAAGTTTGTCTGCTTTACCTATATCATCTTCAGTCTTAAGACTGGTTCACACTGCGAGACATGGGAAAACGTCCTAACAGTGATGTTTTCAGACTTGAAATACAAATTTGAGAACAGAGTATCAATTTCAAGTCAGGTCAAGATATAAAATGAGCATGTTTTTACAATTACATGAATTTTGCATTTTACATTTTCACATGAATTTCATGATTACTGCAGATAAAATAATATATATATAAATATATAATCTCCACAAAAAAGCCTAAATATATTATTTTTAACTTATGTATACAATTCAATCAGATCTTTAAGTTGTACCATGATAAAAAAAATTGTATAAAAATACATACTTTGTCAGTCAAATATGTAACTCCAAGAGAAGTAGGCCTTTAATCTTGGGACATTATTGCTCTATATTCCCTCTGATGTTCCACCATCTTAAGGAAAACTTTGTATTTCTTTTGATGATATCTATAAAGAAAAAGGTACAAATACATATCAGTCTACTGGACTTTAACAGATACTAACTTTACAGGAACATGTAATGGATCTTCTTGCAATATAACATCAACCCTTCATCAGAAGACCTGAAGTTCATTTTGCTGGCAAAAATATTTCTTCCACCTCAGAATTCAAAAAGGAAAGAATGTGAATTTATAAATTAATCACTAACTTTCAGTTGTAACAATCCAACAGATCCTGGACTGATCAGAATATTTGCATTATCAGGAATCTTCAGAAATAGAAGCTATGATAATTGTCAGGTACTGGCATTTTCTACATTCGTGTCTGATTTTATTTCTCTGTTTCTAGATTTGCATTTTATAGCAGTCACCCCTAACATAAGATATAAACAGGTAACTGGTCATTATCCTTGGGTGTTGCATTTTATGCTGCCAGTTTGTGGAACCACTCGTTCTAGCCACATATGAAATATTACCATCTGTTTAGCTCCTTACAGAATATCTACAAATGAAGGAATGTTCAGAATACTGTGTATTCATACCATCTTGAATTTTAACAGAGCTGACATGGATTTTGATACAGAAAGTAAAAATAATTAAATTCTCCTGCCCCCTACCCCAAAGTCTCACTGTCGTATGAAAAATTTTATGCAACCATAAACAAAATATCGTATTCTGGAAGCTAATGATCTGAAATCCGTGAAAATATATGAACATTTATCAAAAACAGCTTAACATATGCAAAATGTTAAAATAACTAACCTACGACTCGTCTTATAGTCACAAACACTTCACAATATCTCGCTGTACACAACTTCATATAGCACACAGGTACTGTACATGCAAAAATGTTACTACTATGAATAAAGTGAATTTGACCCCCTTCGTACACTTGTTAAAAGTCCTGTTTAGTACAAGATCTCTGCCCATAACCAATGCAGTATTTCAGCAGTGAAAGAGCATGTAAATACCTGTGTTCCTTGTGTCTGGGACTGACAATGTCAGCTTCACCTCCCATGACCTTCAAGGCAGTCTGTACATCAGGAAATGCTCCTGCAGAACAAGCTCCAAGGATTGCTGCTCCAATGAGAACAGATTCACTCTCTCGGGGACACAGAACTGGGAGATTTGCCACATCAGCCTGAGTCTGAACAAACAGTGGGTTGCGACTCAGACCTCCACATACTAGCAGTGACTGAATATCCGAGTGGTTGGCTGCACACAGCACATGCATAATGTGTAGTGTGCCATACTGTAACACCAACAATTTTCTGACACTTTCATGCTAAAATAAAAGCTAGGAAATCACAAGATTCAGATAATTTTTTCCTTCATTTAGTAGAGTTTTCTTTAAAGCTTCTGAGTTGTATGAAACATCATATCCAATTAAGAATGATATTGTATCTAAGAAAACTAAAATGTAACATAACCTAACCTAATTTCTGGTAGTAGAATTTTCTCCACAATAAATGCAATGGTAACCAAATGGTGTAATAGTAACTTCAAAAAGGCCACAACTGCTTCCATACATAAATCTTTATTACATTCCAACCACATCCCATCAAGCCATCATTCATATCACCCTGCAACTCACTACTAAACAATCTAAGCAGCTGGAAAATGTGAATAAGTAAAGTTGTTGTGGTGCTTCTTAAGCACATCATGAAGACATACAGGGGCTTGAAGGTATAGCTCCACTACTTTTTGACCTCAGCACCAGAAAGAGTGAGTGATCACCATCGTCTACTTTACCCCAAAGGATACAGAGTCCCTCGTACCTACTGATTAGGATGCTTTGTAAGTCCCAGAGCCAATCTGGACAAGAGAAAAATCTTTTCCCTCGCCGGGCGTCAGATCTTAATTATCCAACCCTAATCCTTATAGTGACTCAGCTATCTGGCTTCCAAATAAACTAATAACTAACACTTACAGCCAAAGCTTGAATGGTCGCAAGATAGATGAGTGCCAAGTTCTCTTCATCTGCCGCCAGAGTCAGCCCACAGATCTGAATAAATGAATAAATGTTATGAAACTCTATATGATATTTGTCTCATAGTTTTTATCAATGGTCAATCCATTCTGATACCAGTATGCATGGACATTGGCTACTGTCTGCAACACGTATGACACACAAAGCATTTCAGGGCTTATACCTATTCCTGCCTTTAGTGAATAGCTGTCATAGTAATAGTTTTGTTTTATTTTGCTTTTACCCCACTATGACAGCTCAGATCCAAGCAGATCTAGTGATTAGCATTCACTTGCTCATACATCTCTGCTCACTCTCTGGTATTAACATGTTAAGGTTAAACATTTCTAACATAACAAAGAGCCACTGTATCTGAAATTGTTAAATCCAATCCAGAGTACCAAATTTTCTTAAGCTTGGGTAGCTTTACAGAGGGGTGAGGAAAATGGACATAATAAAGGCAAATCACAAAATCAGATATGCATCAAGGCCTTTGAAAATCAAAACAAATTATATCCTTTAGACTGCTTATAGTGTTTAATAAAGGGCATTCAACTGTGCATAAGCGTGGGAAGCTCATTCTCACCAAAAAGTTATTTTCTCTGTAACCTGTGATAAACACTCAAACAGTTGTGATGTAATGTTATTCTTTCAGATTCTTGCACCATGTAGACTTATTAGTAGATGCCAACATATCAGAGAGCTTCAGCCCTGAAGATCGGGAGAATAGGTTTTTTCAAAATGCTGGCATCTATCAAGGAGTCTACATGATACCAAAACCCAGAACACCATCATTATTATCCTCACCACCATGAAAACCTCAAATCTCACAGATGTGATGTAAACTTGAATGGGTAAATTTGTTAATATGATTAGAAATCCAACTTTGGAAAGTAAGGAAGAAACTGACATGTGAAAAGGTTAAAAGTTCCATGTCTTTCTCAACATTATTTATATTTTAATCCTGTCATAATCTCTTGGTGTTTCCTATACATATTCTATAGCGTAAGTAAAATAGCAATGAAGAGACAGACAAGACCTTTAACCTGCATTTAAATACCAGTACATTATTAATTTAAAAGCAATATGCAAATGCAGTAATACACAGTACACAAAGACATTAAACATGATGAAAAATCAACCATCTGAGACAATCTTTGGCTAGAAATGTGCATTTCTCATCATGATACTAAAGGTTCCCTTAGTATTTTCTGCAAAGCAATATTTTGACAAGAAGACAAATACCATACTGTACTCACCAGGTCTTACACAACGCAATTTTTAATTTTTACGGAGTTTCAGAAAATGGTTTGTAAGCATCAAAGAAACAACAGAATGTTTTTTTTTGTGTGCAAAATCCACACTTTGGTCACTTTGATAGTGACCATAAAAATGTTAGTTTACAGAAGCAATCCAGTTATTTTAGTCTCAGACCTTGTACTGACAATTACCAAGTTGCAAATGTGAAGTGCATATGAGTCAGCCACTAGATTAGTTCAGTCATCACAAATAAAGTTAGTGCTGTGCTTTAAGCAGCCTGCCACACTAACCTTACCAAGTGATATCCCCTGACCAATCACAACAAGCTGACACCCAGCAGATGAGCAGGACTCTGAACCCCAGGAGCCAAGGAAATAGCACAACCTTTGTCAGAAAACAAATATGTTGCAAACATGCACATATACACTATCTTAATACTGCGTAACCATTCGTGGTCAGATTTTTCCTACATCCCTGACACTCGCACATCAGATTTATGTACTATTTACAAAAATACAAACACTGATGGAAAATTAACACATTTTCTGTATGTACGTATAAACCATTACTGTTTATACTATCAACACAGTTACTGAATCAAACAACTTTTTCTGTGACAGTTGTCACTCCAGACACATAACACTTTCAGAGAGTGAACACTACAGTTTAGCGAAGTTTAAAATGTAAAAATTGAATGACAAATATATTACCATTCCCAACAATGATGGATCAGCAAGAGGTGAACGATTCCCATGGAAGTCGGGCCACACGTGAATATCGCTGGTTAACATAGAAACTGAAGCAACACCTTTCTTCTTGGCCATATTTTCAAGAACACTGTTCAAATATTGTTGAATATGCCTTTAAAAAAAACATAAACCGCCCATATAATGACTGGCCAGCCAAATCATGGCAACCACTTTAGACTAAAATCATTATTTAATTGCTATTCAGAATGAAAAAAACCAACTAACTTTTTGATGACACACTTAGCAGGCTTATGACTGTAGTCCTAACTGGACACAATTCTGAGCCAGTACAATCCAATGCACATAATCAGGACCTATTTCCCTGAGGTTCCTTTCAATATTATTCTCCAATCTCCTCCTTGACCTAGCAACTAGCCACTATCCAAGTATTACCCATCAAAATTTTGAATTCATTCTAAACATTGCCACATCAGTTACAAGTCAGAAAAGATTGCGTTCATAATTTATTCTGTGGTAACTCCATTTAATCTACATCTTCACTCAGACTATACCATTATTAATGAAATGGTATGAAGAACTCGTATGGTTCATGAAAATATAAATTTTTGATGATGTACCAACTAATGGCAAAAAAACTTAATTAAAAATCAATTCTGCCTATTTGTTTTAAATCACATACAAATCTTATAATTCCTCTAAGAATTTCAGAAATGAAGATACTGAATAAATGATCACTGAGAAGACCAAAGACAAGGTGGACAGAAAAGAATGGTGGGCTGTGAAATGACAACACACCCTGGTACAAAAACCACTCAATGATGAAGCACTGAACTGAAGAACAAGCTTAGAAAATATCAAAGTACACACAATATCGCCATGTGTTCTTTGCAACATGCATTTTAAGGTAGTGAATCCACCTTGTTCGATAATTCCCACTCTGGCCATCAGATTGCAGCGCCTCAATGTCTATCTCATGATTTTCTTCATCCATCATTTTGTTATCACTGTTTGCAGGATATTCAAAAGATAATTCTGAGGTTGTATAGAACAGCACAACATCCAAATCAAATTTCATCCAAATCTATCCAGTAATTCTCAAGTTGAATTAACTAGACAGGCATGATCAGACCATAACGCATTCTCACTACACACTCTGTGCAAAGACCACATAACAAGCATTTTCTGAATTAGTGTGATGATAAAAGCTTACATATTCTTCCCAATCTTGGCTTTTAATTGTGCAGTGGCTGGGTGAGAGTCTATCACATGATCAATCAACTTGCCAGTGGCACTCTGACCAGCCTCGTTCAACCAGTAACCCGGGACCATAGCACTGAAGTAAGGTCCCCAAACACCTTCCACAAACAGTGCATCCTTGTGCACAGCCATGTGGCATGTGGAAGTGCCACATATCAGACCTACAAAAGAGTTTCATATTTCTGTATATAATCATCACAGAATTAACAGGTTATATATATTATATGCTGTCACTGCTGAAAGAGACAATTTATTGTTTTATATTTCTGAAATTGTGGTTATGCTGCTGAAGAACATTTCATAACAACGCAATATTTGTCAGACATAAATCCAATAGCTTTACTAATGCTCAACAAAAGAAAATGATGCCTGACGCAGACATCTAAACTGTACAATGGTATTACGTGTGTTGCGAGATCTCTATGTATAAAACGTATGTACACAAACTATCATGCTCTATAAGTTCAGTCTGCCAACTTACTCAGCCTGGTTTGGAATTCCTTGCACACTGAGCCTGCTGAGCATCCAATCATACCTAAACCACCAGCATGAGCATCAATTATGGATGTTCCAACAGGAGTTCCGCACTGCAGCCCCAATTCTTGTGCTGCCTGCTCACTGAGTCCACTACCACAGGGAGAACCAGGCTCCTTCACCACAGAACCAATTTTCTTCCAATTCTGCTCCATCAGGTCTGACAACCCAATCTGCCTGAAGTAGTCCTCACTCCAACCATTATTCCCATTTGGATGAGCCTCATATGTCCACTTGCAGACTAAAGAGCACAGTGACCTGTAAAACCAGGAAGGACACAAGCCCCTCCTACCTTAATGCCAACCTATAATAATGTGGTGCATTGTTCTCATAAATAAGTCTTACATAACAACACAGCCATTACAGTCTATTTGGAGGAAATGCTATTACCTGATTCCAGAACAAGTCATGGTACTGTAACTTTTAAATCTAATGTGGAGTAAATACCAGTACCAAATTCCTTAAGACTGAGCCATGGCAATAAAATCAATACTGCTGTTGTGGAAGCAATGCCAGTACTGAACCTTATACACCAAGTCACATATGAAACAGTTACCAATATAAGTCAAAGTTTTGTTTGAGCTGTTTACACAAATTGCATAAAATGAATGCATATTTTTCATCTGCAAAACTACTTAACAGATTTCAATTAATCTTGGTACTGCAAGTCTACACTAAAATTAACCAAATTTATAACTGGTTGAATAAACAGCAGCATTTATCCTCAATTAGAAACAATGCTAATCACATAAAGGTAAATTTACTGTTTAACTGGGACTTGAAATGACAAGTTATTCCTTATAAACAATTAATGAAATGACTGTTTTAAATTAATTTGATTTTAAAAATATGTTTCTTTATATTAAGTATTACAGAGCACTGAACAATTAACTTTATACATAATACAGAAATACAAACCGTGAATCTACACCAGTGGCTCTCCAAGTCAAGAAATCTGGCAAATCAAAGAAATATTCAGCTTTATTCCAACACTGTTCCTTCATATTCCTCTTCAGCCACAGAAGTTTGGGTGTCTCCATTTCAAGTGAAATCTTGCCACCAACATATTTCAAGACAGGATGCTTCAAGCTATTGATAAACTCTGCCTCGTCAAAAGCACGATGGTCCAGCCACAGAATTACATTTTGCTCATTATTTCCTGGCAGAAATAAAAGGAATATGAAACTCATTATTAGGTTTGTGTGTGCATGTGCGTAAGTATGAAAATAGAAATGAAGAAAATCCTTTCAATCTGTTTACCATGTACAAAAATAGTTACATAACAGTCACCTTTTTTATTACTGGATTCAATAAACTAAATTAAATTAAACTAAACCCAACTTAATCTATCACTTAATTCAGATTTACTGCAGAAATATAAAAATATATACAAATGCAAAGAAACCTGTTTTACTTTGTTGGTAGAATTACACAAGGTTGTAAGTAACCAGTGTAATTATGTCAAGGTGCTGTACAAGAAATATGAATAAATGACTGCATAAAATCCTGTAGAAATGAAGATAAATACACTGATTGGACAAGCTTATTACATGCCTATAAGAACTGATGGACAAATATAAAGAATAGGTAAAATGAAGTTTCATATAGGAAAACAATCTTCAACCAATGTTGGTACTCAGAAAAAATCCTTACATAACTGACATTACCTGTAGGACTGACAGAGAGAGGATTTCCTTCTGCATCCATCACAGCCAAAGAACATGTAGCATCAAACCCAATACCTTTCACAGCATTGCTAGGCACATTCTTTGTAACATCCTAAGATAAACAGTGTACATCATATTAATGAAAATTTCAATGTGCTTTTGTAAGATCAGTCAAAATTCCATATAATTCTAAATCTCTACACATATACTTGTGTCATGATACAAATGATCCTAACCTAAAAATGTTGGCTGTAAAGTGTGTGTGTGTGATATATATATAGACACACACACACACACACACATCATCATCATCATCAGACAACACACACAGAGTTAAAACATCTCAGGATGAAGAACACAATCAACTCTGCTGGGGAAGATCATTAGGTCTGAACATTGTTTTAGTCATCGCAATCCTCATCAACCTTTTGTTAACAGAAGGCCAGTCATGACAGGCACTCGCCTTCAATTATTTCCAAATTGGTTCACCAATTTTATTCGTATTCTTCGATATGAACTATATGTACAATGTTTATCTGTGGTTTAATCTTGCTCTACTGTCAGAATGGCTCTGTTGGTCTGACTACCGAAGCCTAAATAGTTATGGTCTCAGAAATGTATTTGTAATTTATCCTAATTTCTGGACTTCTTTCTGGGTTGAAATCCAAGTCTAAAAGGTGTTGTTTTTCATGTGTGTGCTAAAAATTATCTGTATTATATATTCTTATATTAGAATTATTTTGCCGTTACCTTCACCACAGAACAAACTGCTTTCCATATGTCATCTGTAGACTGTTCAAAATAACCTACTTTCGGGCTCCATGTTTTCGTGTCTTTGGACGAAGTGTGCAATAGTTCACCATTTCTTGTTACTAGAGCAGCCCTGACACTTCCAGTTCCCACGTCGACACCAATAAAGTAAGATTTCATTTTTCGTAAATTTCTTTTTCTGTTGCCATACGTTAACTCGTGTCACCAATGATGGAGGAAACGGGTCGTATCTCACGCGTTCACCTACATATCTTATCATTAGATGACAAGGCCATAAGTCGTAAGCGCGCGATGTTCATCAGTTCTCTTTGCTGATGTCGTTTACTGAAATGGTACGCTTGCTAATGTGTATTTTACGATGGAAACCGTGCATCTCCATTCTTCACCCTCAATGTCACAGTTCGTATTCCGCTCTTGTTCACTCCCTATCACGGATTGCTACCTCCTTTGTACTTAAAATACAACTCACTCGTCACTATCGTTCTGCCTACACGAAATCCAACTTCAATTTTCTTACTCTTGTTACATTTCATTTCTATGGCAATTACGGTCTCGATGTCCAAGGAAAAGTCATGCATCATAATGTTAGTGCAAGCGGCATAGACGATAGTCCCCCCTCTCACAGCCAGCGAATATCAACAATAAGGAAGCTCTTCCTTGTCAAATGCGTATGCCAGTTGCAATGCAGGGATTTTAGAAATTCGCGACAACACACACAGAGTTAAAACATCTCAGGATGAAGAACACAATCAACTCTGCTGGGGAAGATCATTAGGTCTGAACATTGTTTTAGTCATCGCAATCCTCATCAACCTTTTGTTAACAGAAGGCCAGTCATGACAGGCACTCGCCTTCAATTATTTCCAAATTGGTTCACCAATTTTATTCGTATTCTTCGATATGAACTATATGTACAATGTTTATCTGTGGTTTAATCTTGCTCTACTGTCAGAATGGCTCTGTTGGTCTGACTACCGAAGCCTAAATAGTTATGGTCTCAGAAATGTATTTGTAATTTATCCTAATTTCTGGACTTCTTTCTGGGTTGAAATCCAAGTCTAAAAGGTGTTGTTTTTCATGTGTGTGCTAAAAATTATCTGTATTATATATTCTTATATTAGAATTATTTTGCCGTTACCTTCACCACAGAACAAACTGCTTTCCATATGTCATCTGTAGACTGTTCAAAATAACCTACTTTCGGGCTCCATGTTTTCGTGTCTTTGGACGAAGTGTGCAATAGTTCACCATTTCTTGTTACTAGAGCAGCCCTGACACTTCCAGTTCCCACGTCGACACCAATAAAGTAAGATTTCATTTTTCGTAAATTTCTTTTTCTGTTGCCATACGTTAACTCGTGTCACCAATGATGGAGGAAACGGGTCGTATCTCACGCGTTCACCTACATATCTTATCATTAGATGACAAGGCCATAAGTCGTAAGCGCGCGATGTTCATCAGTTCTCTTTGCTGATGTCGTTTACTGAAATGGTACGCTTGCTAATGTGTATTTTACGATGGAAACCGTGCATCTCCATTCTTCACCCTCAATGTCACAGTTCGTATTCCGCTCTTGTTCACTCCCTATCACGGATTGCTACCTCCTTTGTACTTAAAATACAACTCACTCGTCACTATCGTTCTGCCTACACGAAATCCAACTTCAATTTTCTTACTCTTGTTACATTTCATTTCTATGGCAATTACGGTCTCGATGTCCAAGGAAAAGTCATGCATCATAATGTTAGTGCAAGCGGCATAGACGATAGTCCCCCCTCTCACAGCCAGCGAATATCAACAATAAGGAAGCTCTTCCTTGTCAAATGCGTATGCCAGTTGCAATGCAGGGATTTTAGAAATTCGCGTGGCACTATTCCAGAGAAATCTGCATAATAAGAATTCCGGTGTACTCTTTACCAATTATTATGATTAAATCAACGAGAATGGGGTGTGTGGGGTATGCAGGGAGATCAGTACAAAATTTTGGAACAAAAGCCTGACAGGAATAGACCACTTGCAAGGCAGGAGGATATTAAAATGGCTCTGAAGGAAATATAACAGGATATGGACTGAATTCATCTGGACCTGGAGAAGGGCCAGTGGTTGGTTCGTTACAGTATTGTTGTGAACCTGTGCATTCCATGAAAGGCAAGAATTTGTCTCTTTAGGACTATGATTCATGCAGTTGGTTGAAGTTTTTTTTTCAGAAAGCTTTGCCAGGGTTGTACCATGGAAGGCCAAGAGTTGCCAGAGCAGCTGTATGCCACATCAGTACTGGCACAATTATTACTGTAAAGTCAATGCCACTTTAAAACACCCTGAAAATATCTAATATTCTTACTCAACACCACAGATCAAGCATTTTATTTATGCATAGAAACTTACCTCATAAAACTTAAAATATCATTGTAGATGCTTTCAATCTGTTCTTGAAGATAAATTTCAATAACGCCGGGCAATACTGAACTACATGAACAAAATTGAACACCTAATTTTGTACTTAAGATAGTAAGGGTATTTTCATATTATGTTTGCAACAATATTATTCACTTTCAAATAACATCTTCCCAACAAATTTGTATAGATTTTGAATACTAAATTTTGTCAAAAATTATCCAAGAGAAGATAAAGGGATACAATTATATATATACAGGTTTTGAACATGCCTAAACATTACACAAGAAAACTAATGCCCATTGCAATGTAACTAATTCCATTTGTAGATTTATTATTTTAAAAATTGTATAATGCTAATGAGGCTCTGACTGTTTATAAGCACAGATGGCAAAGCTTACATCTCAGAGATTTAATACAAAATCACTGAAAAGCATTCACTAGCAGAAGTATGAATTTTTAAATGTGAATATGTACTTTACCAGGAATTGCATGTTTAGATGCAAATTTTACCCAGACACTATCAGACCATGTAATCTCCTAAGAGAAGAGCATCTCCCCCCACTACAGTTTGTAATTCTGGGAGAATTATTGTTTCCTAATGGTTATAATTTCTATTCAAAAACATGAAGGGCCTGTTCTATTGGTCCAAACTGATGACACTGTTAATATAAATGTAAAATTACCTTAACAGGAAATGCTGCAATGGAATACTGGGTTCATTAATAATAAAGCATATAGTTTCAAATTATGTATTTTGATGAATAAAATTTACAATTCCCTTGCTGAACTCAATCTCAAAGTATACAGTAACATTTACTGCCTTTAAGTTATTTCTTGAGAACTTAGCTTACTGGATCCGAGGCCCTCCAGTAACAACACAGGCTCACCGACCTGCAAATGCTATGTTCTTACAATATTCTCATGCTGATTATTCCAACAAGCAAAAATTGAACATGGAACAAACTAATTAGAGGCTGACACCCATACAGGCAACAAAAGAAAACTGATGGATCTGAATTACAATATCACATAACCTCCACTGTAGTTTACATAACAATCTGGTGAACAAGTTATCAAACCTAGTAAACATCAAGAGCTTTTGCAAATATGTAAACATAATGTATCATTGTTTAAAATGTGAATATATTCCAATCTTACTCTCTTTGGTACTGGCTGCGACTTAGCCACCCAGATGACTGGCTGATCTGGTCACAATACCTACTCTACTCTTATGACTGAAATGTCACTAGATCAAAGTCACAATATAGTTCACTTACTTGAGAACAGGTGTCACTCAAATACAGTTCTGAAAAAGCTCCAGAATTTCTATCAATTATTATATATTGGCCTTTAAATGTTCGATAATTTTATCCAAATGAAAACAGTCTTCCAATCGGCTAAAGCCACATTAGTAGTAGCACGTAGTAATGAAAATCTTCAATGCTCAGTAAGACAGTGAAGTCATAATAATGTTTTGACTCGAGCTCTTCTTACCAGGCACAGAAGGAACATGTAGAAATTCAATTGTAGAATAAAATTAAATGAATACCCCAAACTGCACGTATTTCAAGAGAAACTGGTTTTTGATCACTTGTCTAACATGTAGTTCACATATATGTATGATGTGGAAATTACAAATAGTCCAACTGAATTACGACTAACAATTTATCAGCTGGGATTCAAGCTCATGTATTTTCCAAGAGTTACAATTTGTAGCTCCTGCAACTGTGAGAAATTAGTAATATAGATAACTACATGATTCCATGGTACTGAAGTAAAACAAACCTATTTGAGGCAATAACAGATTAACTACACATCACCATGCCATAATTGCTGTCTGAAAGATGCAAATTACCAATAAACTCTCAATCTACATGCTGTTAAATTTAATATTTTTATTTTGTAAATTTTACTTTTTATGTGGGAATAGTTTGTGATTTTTTTTATTGATTTTAAAATATACCTAAACCAAATAAAATATTGATTTGTGCACCCAACAAACAGGATGTGGATTTTTGAGGCACTGGACATAAGCAGAAACAGAAAGAAACTTACCAGAATAGGCAAAATGAATACACACATTATACATATGACCAAAGATGCTTCAAAAGTTTCCAAACCCCAGTCAGTAATCAATAATCCTACCAGAATGCAGAATCTTGAGCACTTTACAACGTAGCACAGATAAAATGAATGTACTGAAGAAACTTACTGGACATCACTGTAAAAGATTATTTACCAGAACAAGCCATGCTGGTTGCAAACAACACCTTCTGCTTCTGTTTCTTCTTCTTCTTCTTCTTACCTGAACTAGACTCACCTTCACCTGTAACATAATTGTCGTCAAACACCCATTGTATCACTGAAAAGCTGATGCTGAAGAAACTAAGCAAACAATTCTTTCAAACCAACTTATATGCAGAAATAGACAAACATACCCCCAGCATAAGTTTATAGCTTACCTTTTGGAGTTTCTTTGTCAGCAACTGCTTTTTCTAGTGCAAGAGCAATGGCATCACTGAAGCTCTGGCTGAATGTGGGGGCAGGAACATAACCCTCCGGTTCTGGCTCACTGTCAGAGTTGTGACGTCGTCCTCCAGCTGGTTTGATCTTACTTGTAATTGGCACAGGTGCCGAAGG